AAATCTTCACATTTTGTTTTTTAATGAAATGTCATCTTTATTATTTTAAATATATCATTTGAAATTCGATTCTTGATTTCTGTATTTATTATTGTTCATTTCGACTCTTTTTTTTCTATAATTATCATTATTCATTCGATATTTTTATTTTAAGTTATATGATTATTCTTATTCTTTAAAAATACTTTATATCAACTTTCGAAACTATTATAATATCTTTACTTTATAAAAAATACATTATATCAACTTTCTATTTTTATTGTGTAGTCTAATCATAAACAAATTTTTTTATAAAATATTTAATCTTCGCCAAATTTCTTTGCAATGATAAGTATTGAAAAACATATTTATTACATGTTTAATTTATATATATATATATTAAAAAAACGGTGAATTTTTATTTTTGTTTTTCGTTTTCAAAATTAAGTAATTAAATATTAATTATCTTTTAAGCTATTAATCTTTCAAATTATTTTTTTGTATACAATTTCTTTGATTATTTCTATAATTAATGAAATGAAATAAAACTTAAAATAGAATTTAAATTAAATAAACTTGAAAATATCAAATTTCTATGCTTTCATTTTTCCATATTTATGAAATGCAAATATTAAAGTTATGTCAATATCACAATGTTTTGTTTTTAATTAAAATTAATGATATCCAATTATAAATTATTATATTATTAAATTAAATATTTTATATTTAATTATATTATTAAATTAAATATTTTATTATTAAATTATACATTATATCAAAAATTTTATTGAGGATATTTCCAAATATTTGAAAATATATTTAATAAATTAATTCTTTATAGTGAAAGTGATTCTATAAATTGATTAAATTAATTAAATGATAAATCAAATGTTTTTTTATATTTATTTTATTTTCAATGAATAAATTTCTAAAACATATAGCGTATATAAAAGTATAAACAAAGGATATTTAAATTTCAATATTTAATTTTTTTTCAAAAAAAAATAATTCGGCGAGAGTTTATCAAATCAAAACGGTACGTCTTCATTTTCTCGATTATCAAATAGGTGAACAAATACTAATATCCTTCTAAAAAATAGAGATCATAATTAGGAACCATTAATCTTTGTTATCATAAAAATCTTTGTTATCAAAAATCTTTGTTATCTCTCTCTCTCTCTCTCTCTCTCTCTCTCTCTCTCTCTCTCTCTCTCTCTCTCTTTCACTCATTCTCCTATAATTAATAATATAATATTTTACAACAAATATCTTCTCATATCGAATGAATCATTAGATTATTTGTGAGATTAGCTTGAGTACAACCCAGATTGGTAGAACAATTATGAGAAGAGAATACATCGCGATATCTCTCATGGGGTCAGTCTTAAGCCTCTTGCTGAGAGATATATGATGTGGATCTTCTTGTTTGTCACATTCTTAATAGATCTTTTTTTTTTTCTGAAGAAATATAAATTTTTTTTCAAAATATAATGCAATTAAATTTTCATTTTATTTTATATTAAACAAAAATGAATTATATTTGTTGCCAGTTGTGAGGTTTATGTGATATTTTTTATGTTTTTTTCTCTGACGAATTTCCCACATTTTTCCAACTAAATTCAAGTTCTTAGTCAGAAATAAATGTGCTTATATTTAATCTAATAACAGTGGGAAAAATATGATATCACATATTCTACTACCGACAAAAAATTGTGCTACATTTAGTGATGGAAATAATATTGTATTATTCATAATTAGTAACTTTAGATATCATTTTTCGGAAAAGAAATTGTGCAATATTTAGTGATAAAAAGATTAGCTACTCGCATCCAACAACTTTGGATATCATTCTATAAATCATACAGGTGATATCATTATGTCAATTAACATATTTTCACATGTCACTGAAATGTAATATTTGCAGAATCTTTTTTAAAAATAGATATTTGGATAAATTCAATTTAGCGATATGTACAAAAAAAAAAGCATATAATAAAATTCGTCTTTTATATCGATCATAGAAAATTATTTTTTATTCTTCGTTATTTCTTAATTATTGGTATAGAAATATTTTTTTGATTGTTATTTTATTTAACGTTTTACAATCAATGCATATATACTATATATTACCAACAGCAAATTAAATATCAAACTGATATCGCAAAAATTTTAATTTTAATCTTAATTTTCTTTTTAATTTTAATTTTAATTTTAATTTTAATTTTAATTTTAATCTTCCAATGGTTATTTTATATGTTATTTTCATATTCTGATCCGAAGAAATATTCATATAAAATTGATAATTATATCAATTTTATATTTTCATGTATATATTGTCATACACATATATACATAAACAAATTTTATATACATTATAATTGTTAAGATGTTTTTCTAAATATTTAAATAGAACAATGCCGTTTTTGAAAGAAAAACTTTATTTAGACAATTTTATTTCTTATGATTGTATATTTCTTAGAAAAATTTTTTAATAATAGATAAAAATAAAATGATTATATAATTTCCAGTTAATAGTAATCTCAATATAGTAATCATTATTCTAATTGAAAGAAATTTATTACCAACATCAATTTTTTTGGAACCATGAAGTATATAGAATTACTCTCTATTTTAATTCTAAAAATTTTTTTTGGATTGAGATTTTCTTATAACCGGACTCATATATGGTGCCTCATCATTCTTCGAGATAAATATGGAGAAAATTTCAAAAAGCACAAACATATATAAAATTTAAAAAAAAATTAAAATGTTTTGAAATTTTGAATTATTCCAATCAACAACATCAATTATATTGAAAAATAAGGACTAATAAAAAACAATTTTAATTTTTGAGCTATTAGAAATAGAATTTTCAACTAAAGAAAAATTTAAACCATGGACAATTTTAACTATTGGAACGCTTTGATTATAAATTGATGAAAGATTTTCAATATTTGAATTATTCAAATTATTAAACAATGCGGACTAAAAGAACTTTTCTAATTTTTAAATTATCAAGAATTTCTTCTTGAACCTGTGAACTTTTTTGGAACCTTGAATTCACAATAAATCATAAGAACTCAATATGAACTTGCATATTCAATGACGTGTGTAAATTTTTATTTATATACGGACTTTGCTTTTAATTGTTTTTAAAGAAGCTTCTTCGTAGTACATCATTTTTATTATTATATAATATATACATTATTATTATATGTAGTTCTAGAAATGAGTTAGAGCTGATAATAATATCAAAAGTATTTTACAAGTAATTGAAAAAATAAAACTGGTTAAGGTATAAAGAAAAAAGTTTCTTAAAATGTCTATTTCTTAATTGCTCATTAAAATCAGTAAAAGGACAATTAATCGATATTAAAATTCAAAAATAACATAATAAAGTAAAATTATCGATATAGATATCGATATTTCGATATTGATGTTATTGTACTAATAGTTATATTCAAGTTAAATAATATTCATAAAGCAATATAAATATAAATATATTAAATTTTATTTTAAATTTTAGAATTAGAAAAAATTTAAAATAATTTGAAATATTTGAAATAATAAAAAATCTGAAACATTTATTATATTCATTTAATATTTGAATCATTGACAATTAATTTAAATTCAAATTTGATGTAAATAAAATAAATAAATAAATATAATTTGTCATTTAATTGAAATGAATTAAATATAAACTCATTCTATTTTTATTACTTATTTCTTAAATATAGAAATGAAATTCAATTTTTTATGCAAGCTATTTTCCTATTATTATATATCATTATATAAATATTATATATATATTATTATATATATTTTTCTTATAAATAATATGTTAAAAGAAAGAAATAAGAAAAAATTTTATAGTGTACTCAAATCCATACAATAGTAATAAATCGTAACGAAAAGTAAAAAAAAATATTTTTTACAATTATTTTAATAATCTTCAATCAACATGTATCCACATTTTCAGAATATTCTGTATAAGCTATATATCAACAACAATTGTATACTGTCCGAAGAATATAAACAAATTATAAATGAATAGAATCCGGAAACTAATGAAAATTTAATGTTTTTTAATAATAAATTTTTTTCAAGATAATTGATCAAAAATAGTTTTATTAAAATTTTTTATCTTTGTGATTAGAATACGATTTAATGAAAAAGAAAAATTGATCTTTCGAGTCATTTTTACACGCAGTTTTATTTAATTCATTAATTATTTAATAAATTGTTATCGATCAGAGAATATAAAAGTCATGCTATAATACTCTTTACTTTATTCACTTTTTATACATTCTATAAAAGAAAATATTTGAATGAATTTTATATCTTACTATTGCACTTCGAATTCTTTGAAATGAATCTTTTGTATTATTTTCGATTTAAATTTATATCACATACTATACACGTTAAATTCGATTTTATATCTATATTTACATTTACATATCTACATTTAATACCTATAAAATTAATATACTTTAATTTGTAAAATAATTATATAGAAATTTATAATATAAGAAATTTTTTTAGGTAAAATAATTATCCAAATTAATTTATTTAATAAAAAAAATCAGGAAAATCAAAATATTCTTTTATTCAATGTTTTGTTATAATCGAATAAATATAATCAGAAAAGTGAAAAAGTTATATAAAACGTTTAAGGAAATGAAGTGTTAATTAAATGATAATGGAAATCGAAGGGGTCAATTAATCGAATTCATATTTTACTTTGTTTAAGTAGTTCTTTTTCAACCTTTTAAATGATTATTTCGTGCTAAAAAGTACAATTTTGATTCGCTTAGATCCATATTATTCCATCTTTCAAATTATTTTGCTTTAATTATTTTGTTTTCTTTTTGATTATGTTCTTCTTGTTTAATTTCTTGCGATATTTTTAACGAGATTATATTTCTAATTCCCTGATTTCGTACGGCTTGTAGCATTCTCATATTCTTTAAGATCGATTTTTTAAATTTTTCATGAAAATTTCTCAATTTTTATATTCGGAACTTCAATTTTCATCTTTTAATTTTTTCATTTAAAATTTTTAGCTATTATTAAATTTCTAGAGTTCACAATAACATTTGAAGTGAAATAAGTGAAAAATTGAAGAAGTTAAATTCAATTGATAATTACATTTTATTGTGCAACATATAGAATTTCTAATTTATTGAAATAAATAGGATGGCGGAAGAAGGGAAACCAAAGAAACAGTATGTGGAATGGGCAGCTGTTTTATGGTATATTCATATACACGTTCTAGGAATATACGCTATCTGGTTGATGTTTACTTCTGCCAAATGGATGACTATATTCTATAGTAAGATATACATAAACACATTTCAAAAAAATTTCAATTAATTATTAATTTTATTATTTATTTATTTCATATATTTAGTATAAATGAATTAATTATTTTTTATATCAAATTATTTTTTTGTTTGGCAAAAGTTATGAATATAATAGGATCTAGAATAATTTTTGAAGCGTTATTTTGAAGTTCATGATTTTTTTTCAGAAAGCTAAACTTAAACATTAAGAATTAATATATCATAGCTTATCTTACTAGTTCTAATTAATTCTCATTTAAACATCAAAGTTATAAATAAACATCAATGAAATAACATAATTATTAGATAGAATAGAATAAAGACATATTGAGCTTGTTATAAGATAATATATGTTAAAAATTAATGATATAAATATTACAGAATCTAAAACTTATAATAATTAATTAAAGATACATTATAGAATTATAGAAATCAATAAATAGTTGATCATGAATATAATTACGCTTTGATGAATATTTTAATCGTAAAAATGTTCAATTACGTTATATTTATATCACTACATTTCATTTTTTTCATTGCAAATGTAATAATAAAAGATTTTATTATTCTATGAAATTCCAGTATATTCCTTCTTCAGCTTCATCTTTTTGGCTAACTTATAATAATTAAGAATAAGAATATTTATTATAAAAATATATTGTAGAATCAAATAGTAAATATAGCTACTAATTAATTATAACTAGTTAATTAATATTTTAGTCATGAAAATGATCAATAATATTATTACCATTCATACCATACTCTAATATTGCATATGAGCTAATAAGAATACCTTAATATTCTATTATTTTATTCTAAATTTATTCTATTTCTTCTATTTAATTTTATTAATCAATTGATTTTTCAGCAATTTTCATAATAGCTATTAGTTGTCTTGGAGTGACAGCAGGTGCTCATAGATTGTGGGCCCATAAAACATACGAAGCCATAGGATTTATTAAATTATTCCTTATGCTTGCTCATACTCTTGCAGGAGTAGTAAGTATTTTAAGATTGTTGC